AATAGTAACTTTGATCTTTGTGTATGCAAAAAATGTTTTGTAACCTAACGCAATATACCATAATTGGGTAAAAACTAAAAGGTATCTGTGAAATTTTTCAAACTTTAAGGGTCCATTGATAAAAGTGTAAAAGTTGTCATCCCAATAAATTTGGAAACTTTAAGCGTAATCTATTATTTCCCTATATAAACACCGAAATTCATTACATAATTTTGGAGATTCTTATAAAGTAAGTCTGAAATATGATGCATGTATTACGTTTGTTTAATCATATTGCATTCTTTTTTTTTTTTTCTTTTTTTTTTTTGTATAGTTAGCGTATATACATCTATTTAATCATGTTAAACAAAAAAGTTACATGCATTAACATGATTTACACTAATTGGAGAGACTGAACACATATAGGTCAATTGTTTGGAAAACTCTTTTTCCATATTATACTTAATTAAGAATAACAATTAATTAGTAGTTTAAACTAGGTCTGCAAACGAATCGAACACAAACGAACACCCCCGTTTGAAACTCGTTCGATAAGCACAAGGAGTGTTCGAAATCATGTTCGAACTCGAATGAACACATAATGGTTGTTCGAGTTCGTTCGATTAACCAAACGAGCAATTCGTGATCGTTCGGATAACCTATAAATACTTGTTCGAATAACTCGTTCAAATACCTGTTCGAATAAAAAATATACACCAACTTTTCAATTCATACTCTAAAAACAAATATACAACAATTCATAATTCATACCCATTTAATTTAGCAGTTGAAGATAAACAAACTTTCTATCTATATTTATATTTTAAATAAATCAATAAAAACTCAGTAAATTAAATAAATAGTTATCATAAATAATAAAACTTCAAAATAAATTGAACAGAACAATAAATGGTTTAAAAAAAATTTGTTTCCATATCAAACATGACACAAACAAAAAAATTTGGTTCCATATCAAAATTATAGGTTATCATATATATATTATCATTATTGTCTACATATATATTTTGTATCAACATCCATAAATTCATAGTAATATGAGGGTCTATTGTAATATATGATCAATACAAATGTGTGATTAATTAAGGTTTAATTAAGCTATTATATTATTAAATTTGTTATACTATATATCATTTGATTATATAATATGTTATGTTCATAAATTTGTCATACTATATTTAATTAAGCTATTATATTATTAAATTTGTCATGTTATATATCACTTGAGTATACAATATATTATGTTCATCAATTTACCATACGATATTTAATTAAGGAATCATGTTATTAAATTTGTCATGCTATACATCACTTGATTATACAATATGTTATGTTCATCAATTTACCATATTATATTTATTATTTATTAATTAAAATGTTATATCATAATATTTAATTATTGATTACATTTGAAAAAATACGAAGCTATTATGTTATTAGATTTGCTATGTTATATATCATTTGATTATACAATCTATCATGTTATTAAATTGTTATGCTATATATCATAATAATTTATTATTTTTTAATTTAAATGCTNGAGAGACTGAACACATATAGGTCAATTGTTTGGAAAACTCTTTTTCCATATTATACTTAATTAAGAATAACAATTAATTAGTAGTTTAAACTAGGTCTACAAACGAATCGAACACGAACGAACACCCCCGTTCGAAACTCATTCGATAAGCACAAGGACTGTTCGAACTCGAATTAACACATAATGGTTGTTCGAGTTCGTTCGATTAACCAAACGAGCAATTCGTGATCGTTCGGATAACCTATGAATACTTGTTCGAATAACTCGTTCAAATACATGTTCAAATAAAAAATATACACCAACTTTTCAATTCATGCTCTAAAAACAAATATACAACAATTCATAATTCATACCCATTTAATTCAGCAGTTGAAAATAAACAAACTTTCTATCTATATTTATATTTTAAATAAATCAATAAAAACTCAGTAAATTAAAATAAATAGTCATCACAAATAATAAAACTTCAAAATAAATTGAACAGAACAATAAATGGTTCAAAAAAAATTTGTTTCCATATCAAACATGACACAACAAAAAATTTGGTTCCATATCAAAATTATAGGTCATCATATATATATTATCATTATTGTCTACATATATATTTTGTATCAACACCCATAAATCCATAGTAGTATGAGGATCTATTGTAATATATGATCAATACAAATGTGTGATTAATTAAGGTTTAATTAAGCTATTATGTTATTAAATTTTTTATACTATATATCACTTGATTATACAATATGTTATGTTCATAAATTTGTCATACTATATTTAATTAAGCTATTATATTATTAAATTTGTCATGTTATATATCACTTGAGTATACAATATGTTATGTTCATCAATTTACCATACGATATTTAATTAAGGAATCATGTTATTAAATTTGTCATGCTATACATCACTTGATTATATAATATGCATGTTATGTTCATCAATTTACCATATTATATTTATTATTTATTAATTGAAATGTTATATCATAATATTTAATTATTGATTACATTTGAAAAAATATGAAGCTATTATGTTATTAGATTTGCTATGTTATATATCACTTGATTATACAATCTATCATGTTATTAAATTTGTTATGCTATGTATCATAATAATTTATTATTTTTTAATTTAAATGCTATATACTTATATATTAATTATTGATGACATTTGAAAAAAAAAATCCAAACATATTATATATATATAAGAAAAACAAAAGCATCATAATATTTTATTATTGATTACCATTAAAACAAAATTCATCCAAACTAAACCAAACATAATGTAAAAAAGAAGAAAAAAAGAAAAAAATATAAATATATATAATAATGTATACCATATTTTTCGAACATAAAACAAACGAATAATTGAACAAATTATTCATGAACGGGTGGATCAGTCGAACGATGTATGTTCGCGAACATAATAGAACAAACATCCTATGTTTGAACATATTATCGAACAAACATTGAACTGTTCGCGAATAGCTCGATTCGTTTGCAACCCTAGTTTAAATTAGATTTGGAAGTAGTAATAACATCAATGTTATTTTAATCCAAATGATTGATCATAAAATATTATAAGATGAATAAGAAATAAAATCAAACATCTCAAGTTGAACTCATGCAAGATATTTTAAATGGTAGTAGCCAGAAGATTATATATATATTAGACATAAATATTAGTGTTAGATCTTTGTCTAAAAGTTTAAGTTCCGGATCAGATCACCTATGTCAAAGCAATCAATCACTCAATCTTAGGTCTGACTCTCATCAGATTCATTAGACCTTAAAATCAAATTCACATTTCACACAAAGAAATATGTTAAATTATTGATGATATATATATTTTTTTTTTTCTTTTTTTTTTTATGACCCGGGTGTCATAATAGTTATTGTGTCTTAGATTTTCGGAAATACAATTGTATAAAATTTCACCATAAAATCCTATAATTTTTTGAATAGCTAGCCAGATACAGTCAGGCACCAAGAAAAGATTTTAATCTTCGTCTTTATCACCCCAAATAGCATAAGATATCAAAACTTAGATATAGGAAGACAATATACAAAATTTATGTACAATTAACATAAATTAAGCGTAGTAAAGTTGAAGACAAAGTTAGTTTCGGTAAAATCTAATCACTCCAAGCCACCATAATAAAAATTATTAATAAATAAATAATAAACAATAAACTTGTCTATATCAATTCCTATAGCCTTTATCATCATCTCTTTGTCTTGATTATGCAAAGAAAATATGTTGTTTGTCAGGTCTCATTTGGCTGCATGCAGTTGCTATTCAACAATGGGGATTCCATTACCTTTTTTTAATTAATTTTTGGGAATAAATGTTTATTCCTTCTACTCTACCTATAAATTTGGTGATAACATCAACTTGCATTATCATTAATACCTTTTTAATTAAAATTATAATGTTTATTTTACTTCCCTATCTTTTAGTTACATTGAAATTGCATACTACTATACATTAATTACACACTGATTTTAATTTTGTATTTTGTTAAGCCAAAGAATATTCTTAATCTTTAATTTGCATGTTACGTTTGTATTTACGAATTACCCATATATATATACTAATAGGGGTGGCGTGACCAATGAGACTCTCACCCAACCGACAGTTTCAAAATCCTAAAAGATTAGTTAAGGTGTATATAAACTGGTCCGAACATCCCAATCATAAAAAAAAAAAAAAATGTACATACCAAAAGCCAGGGCTAACTTCATAAAATGTCCAAAAGCCAGGGTTTATAACTTCATAAAATGTAAAAATCAAAGCTAGAGAGTGGTCACTAACCTTTGACCTGCATATTAAAAGCTTCAGGATGTTCGTGCCTGATCATTTTAATGTATATATATAATGAAAACTTTTTAATAGAACATTATTTATCCCAAAGATTCAGAAGTAAACACAGAGATAGAACCCACACCAATTATTCAATTAACTAATATACTAAAGCTAGCTTTTAATAGTTCCTAAACTGGATCTAATTTGCTTTTCCTTTTTACTTTTTTTCCCTCCAATTAACATCATCTTTTTTGGTAAAAAATTAAATCAGATCTGACTTATGAATCAGCTGTCATCTTTTCAGGTTTTGCCTTCTTTGTGGGTCTTCAAACTTTATAACTTTACTACCTTCTAGGTCTTCAACTATTGAACCCCCAAGATATATATATATTGTCCAAATTAATGAAAAATAACTATAATCCACAAAAAAAAAATTTGAAACCATATAAAGAGATATTGGAAATGGAAGCACGGTAGGTCCATACACTTGCACATGAAAATAGCAAATCACTCAAAACCCTTACAAACTTTATATTATATAATATTTATATATAAATATGAGATGATTCTACATGCTTATTTTTATAAAATTAAAAATAATAACATGAAAATGACCCCAAAATTTATTTGCTGTACTACTTGGCCATTTCTGAAACTGAAATGAAATAGAGTTTTGATTGCAAAGTCTTGTTATTGTTGCCTCTACCTCTCAATAGGGGGGCCTCCCTCACTTCTTCTTCTTCTCCTTCTTCTTCTTTCTTCTTTTTCTTCTTCAATATCTCATGGACATAACCCTCTTCACTTCTCCTAAAGGACCTCAATTCTCCCACACCTTCTTCTCTACCAATAATAATGGTGATCACATAGTTCTAGACATGAACAACAACAACAATCAACAACCCCAACATAGCCATACTTCCACCAGTCGCTCATCTGCAGACTCAGCAGGCGGTGTCGTTGGATGCGCCGTCGAGCCCTATGGCGATGCCACGGGTAACAAATGGGCATCAAAGCTTCTTAAAGAATGCGCTAGAGCCATCTCCGACAAGGACTCTAGCAAAATTCATCACCTTCTATGGATGTTAAACGAGCTCGCTTCACCCTATGGAGATTGTGATCAGAAATTAGCTTCTTATTTCCTCCAAGCCCTCTTCTGTAAGGCGACGGAATCCGGGCAACGTTGCTACAAAACCCTAACGTCTGTCGCCGAAAAGAGCAACTCCTTCGACTCTGCCCGCAAATTGATCCTCAAGTTTCAGGAGGTAAGTCCATGGACAACGTTTGGTCACGTCGCGTCCAACGGTGCAATTTTAGAGGCTTTGGAAGGAGAAACGAAACTTCACATAATCGATATCAGTGACACGCTGTGCACCCAATGGCCGACGTTGCTGGAAGCTTTAGCCACGAGAAACGACGAAACTCCTCACCTGAAACTCACCGTCGTGGTGACTGCAAGCATCGTGCGATCAGTGATGAAAGAGATTGGACAAAGAATGGAGAAGTTCGCTCGCTTAATGGGCGTCCCCTTCGAGTTCAATGTGATAAGCGGGCTAAATCATATAGGAGAGTTAACGAAAGAAACATTAGGAGTCAAAGACGACGAAGCCATTGCTGTGAATTGCATAGGCGCGATGAGGAGAGTCGCCATAGACGAAAGAGAGAGTGTAATTCAAATGTTTCATTCACTCGGAGCTAAAATCGTGACGATTGTCGAAGAAGAAGCTGATTTCACAAGCTCAAGATATGATTTCGTCAAGTGTTTTGAAGAATGCCTCAGATACTACACATTGTATTTCGAGATGCTAGAAGAGAGCTTCTCCGCGACGAGCAACGAAAGATTAATGTTAGAAAGGGAATGTTCGAGGAGCATAGTTAGGGTTTTGGCGTGCGAAGAAGATGATGATCATGAAAATTATGGAGAAAAATGTGAAAGGAGAGAAAGAGGAAGGCAATGGAGTGAAAAATTCAAGGCGAACTTTTTGCCATCCGGGTTCAGTGACGATGTTGTGGATGATGTTAAGGCATTATTGAAGAGATACAAAGCTGGATGGGCATTGGTAACGTTACCACAACAACAAGGTGGAGATAATAATAATACTAATAATCACCATGAAAATTCAGGAATTTATTTGACATGGAAGGAGGAACCAGTGGTGTGGGCATCAGCATGGAAACCCTAATTAGAATTTCATGAATTTTTTTTGATGATGATGAATATTTCTGAAGATCTTATTATAAATTTTTCATGCATATTTGTAGTAGTTTTTAATTATTTAAGTGTTGGATCGATCGATCCATGCATTTTTCATTTTATTAGTATTAAGGGTTTATGTTTGGGAGTTTGTGTGGGTTTTGTTTTGTTTTTAGATGATTGTTATTGTTTGAAGGTGTTTGAAACTTATGCTTCTCTCTCTTTATCTTTTTAATTATTAGTGATATATATATATCCATTCAATCCAGTTTCCCATATATATTTGGATTGGTTCTTCTCATCCCTTTGTGGGATTTTTTAACAATTTTTTTCATATATATATATATGATGAATTCAATATTATATATATCTATTCAGTTAATTAATGTATAATTATGTTAAATGTATGAGTGTTTTAGTTTGTTAATTGATTTGTATTGGTTGATATTTTGATCCATTTTTCCTCAAATTATATGGGATTTAGATCTTATTAATGATGATTAATGGGTAGCCGGTGTGAAAGCCTTAATAATTAATTAATTGGGTAATTATGGTTTTTTTATTAATGTAAATCACACTTTGGGAGCATATATATTGTGAGTTATTATCTATTTTGTACTCAACTCTATATATCTAGATTCTCTTAATTGAACTATTTTTTTAAATTGTGCATGCCTACAAATAATTAATTTGTCAAGTCTATGATTTGACATTAAAAATAAGCTCAAAAAAACTAACTTAATTATGAAGAAAACAAACAATATGAGAGATGTTTTTTTTTTTTTTTTCTCACTCTATTATGAAATATTAATCACATAATCCTTTAAATTTATTATCAAATTCTTTGAAATTCTTGTAACTAAGTTAGCAAATTCAAGCAAGCCTAATTAAATATATAAGACAATGGCTTCCCAAGTTATAAGAACTAGCAAAAGCTTAATCGGTCTTTTATACATAAAATTAACCTTCACATAAACATATTTAAAAGAAAAATGTTCGATCAAATTTAGTTGATCTATCGATTACCTTTACCGAATCAAAACAACTAATTCATTAATATATACTTTAAAACTTATGTGTGACAGTATCACCAAAAAATTCAACAATTTACATTGACAATTAAAAGTTCAATAATTTATATAGACAATTAACATTGTATATACCAAATTATATAAACACTATCATATTTCATACATTTGATCCAATATCAATAATTTGTATACCTCACTTCATTTTTGAAGTCCCTAAAGCTTTGGCTTTGAGTTCTTAAAAGTCTGAACACACCCACCCATTTTCTCAATCATAAACATAATAATTTTTCTCTTCATTGATTCCTGCAGGTTTTGATAAAGATGGAAAGTGTATAAATGAATGATAAATTGACATAAAGAAGAAAATAAAATAAAAAGGAAGAAACTGGGGGCCAAGAAGAGACCCTGGTGGCAAACAGAAGAGTACCAACTAGATCCCAAGTTTGCCTTTATGTCTACCGATTTGAATAGCATTTTTCTAAATATTGTTCTCACTTTTCTCCAACATTATTTAGTGGAAACACTACTTTTCTAAGTGATTCAGATAAGACTTCCCGGTTGTTGTTGTTGTTTGTGTTAATTGTTTTTTACATGCATCCCAATTTATTATAAAGTCTTTACAATTATGCAATTTCTAGCTGTTATTTGCATCATCATGTGCGTCTGCAATTCATAATATTATTTACTTTAACACTTTATATATTTATATGTATACGTTCATATGCATGCATGAATTTCACACAACTACAAATAGATACTTGAAAAAGGTTCAATTTGCTGGCAATAATTTGTGTATGATTGGTGTTTCTTCTTCCTTTTTTCTTTTTAATGTTTCTGGCTAGATATTATTTCGAATTTACTTAATTAGTTAAAAAAAAGAATGAAGGTCGTTTTGACAACTAAATAGAAAAGAAATCACTGTCGATTTTTATTTTTTTTTTTAATTTTGGTGACTAAGGGATTTTGAGTTAGTTTACGCAAATTTCGACTAATTCTTGTGTATACCCCCCAGTGGTCATCCCTCTTAGCTATCGACATGACTCAAACTCAGGACTAATCTCCCAGGATTCTGAAATTAACAAATATACCCTCCAATGGTAGCCATCCTTATTAGTAACTAAAGTGACTCGAACTCAGGATCTTTTTAGTAATTCAATCAAGAGTCATTGTCCAATCACTTGATCACCCAATAGTGGTTAATAACTGTCGATTTTGATGATACTATTTTGATTTTATGTCTATATACATACACGAAATTTACGCAACTACTACATATAGGTACTTGCAAATGCTTTTCTTGACTAGCAACAATTTTTGAATGATTTTCCTCTTCTATTTCCCTTTTAATGTCTTGATATTATATCGATTTACTTAATTCGTTAAAAAGGAATGAAGGTCGAGTTTAATAATATTAGTTAAATTTACTTAGTAAAGTAGGAAAGCAGTGAAAATCGACTTTGATGATACTAGCTATTTCGATTTACATTCATATGCATACACGAAATTCACACAATTACTATATACTAGGAAATGCTTTATTTTACCAGCAATGATTTCGTATGAGTGTGTTTTCTTTCTAGCTAGATATTATTTCGATTTAATTATTTAGTCAAAAAAAAATTGAACGTAGATTTTGATGATACTAATTAATTTAATTTACTTATTTAAATTAAATAAGGAATGAAAAGTCGACTTAGACCATAGTATTTTGATTTACGGCTATATGTTTACATTTCACTAGCAATAATTTGTTTCTTTTATGTGTTTTCTATTTTGAACTTCTTAATATACGGATATTATTTCGATTTATTTAAATAGTTAAAAAGGAATGAAGCTTAATTTTGATTATAGTGATTCGGTATTATTTCAATTTACTTGCTTAAATGGAAATGAATGTTCTATTTAATTAGTTCAGTAAAGGTCGACTATGAAAATACTAATTTGATTTATAAAGTTAAGTAGAAAAGGAATGAAGGTCCACCTAGACTATACTAGTTCAATTTACTTAGTTAATTGAGAATTAAGAACGATTTTGATGACAACATTTTCATTTTCCCAATTAAGTAGAAACGAGGGTCATCAATTTTAACTATTCTATTTCAATTACATTCATATGCATTATTGCATGCAAAAATTCGCACAATTACAAATATACAATCACGAAAACTTAATTATAATTATAAAATTATAGCGCGCAAGAAATAATTCCTTATTTCTTATATTATGCAAAATTTTCATCACTACATATGCCCTTTTTTTTTTAGTTATAATTAAAAAAATAAACCCATTTAATTATGTTTTCTATTTTTTTATTTTATTTACTAAAACCAATCTTAATTTATTTTTATTTTCAAAATATAACACTTCTTAAAGTCATACCAAATTCCTATTGGGCTGAAATTCAAATCTATTAGGCTAAAGGCCCATCAATTTTGTATAAAAAACTCACAGGCCTAAAATCAAGCCCATTGGCCCATAAATGAGCAAAAAGTAATACCAGAGCTTTAATAGGGGCAAAATCGGAAAGTGAGCTCATAAAATTCCTAGGGTTTATAATCAGCACATATATATAGTTAAAGTTAAAACGAAGCTCTAGGGTTTGTTGGGCGTGCTCCGTTTTTTAATCACTTCGGAAGCAAAATCCTCAGCCAAGAATGGTACTTTCTCTCATTTCAATTCGTTCTTCATGTGCTTCTTTGATTATTTCATTGCTTCTAATGCTTTATTTAGATCCTTTTTCTGTTGAGATAGATTTAATGTTGTTTGTTTTTTATACGTAGGTAGTATTATTTTCTGTTCGTAGATGCATTTATATGTGGCGGTGATGGGTTTTCAGCTCTTTTTGGGTGTTTTGTCATCTGGGTTTGGTCTTTTCTTTTTTGTTTTTTTTTTAGTGATTTTTTTATGGGATAGTTTCTTTGTGTGTTTATAGTGTTTATGGAGTGATTTGAGAGTAAGTGCTGTTTTTAGATATTTTGGGTTTGTTTTATCATAGGGTTTTTCTTAATTTTTAATTAATTTATTTATTTTTGTTTTTTGGGTTAAAGTTTTGGTGGATTTTTAGTGTTGATGAAGTGATTGGAGAGTGTGTGGTTTGAAGGGTTTGAGTTATGATGTGATGGGTTGCTCTTAGCTTAAAGAAGGAAGGTAGAGTAATAATACCTAAGAATTGATTATAAAATGGAAAGTTAAAGTTTGAATATCAATTAAAGTTTAATTGACGTTTAGAAAAATTATTACGGATTTGCAAAGGACAGGCTAAATTTGCACTTGTTATAATTAAAATCAACTTAAGTTTTGTAAGTTGGGAAGAAAGCATTTGTGGGTTAATTTAATGGATGCATTTTTGTGCTAGATTTTCTGATTTTTAGCCCAGCTTAGGTCTTGGAAAGTTTCTTCAATAGTTAAGATACTAAAGGAAACATAGAATTGAATTAAATCTGAAGATAAGCAGATATGAGTAGATGAGATGCAAATTTTTTGTTTAGAGTTAGATGGGGCAATTAAAAATGCTAAGTTATGGTTTTGGAAAAGAAGGCATTGCTTTTAGTCCCGTTCAAAGGTGGCTACAGATTTGTGCAGTTATGTATGTAAATTTGATTAGACATTTCTGTTTTGCTACTTTCCCTCTTTCCTTAATGGTTTTGTAAAGCTTAGATCTTATAACCTTCTGATTTTGTTGAACTGATATTTTTGAGAGTTTCTAAATTTTGTGGAGCATCAGCTAGTAAATGACTGTTCATGGCTTGAAACTTAAGCAAAATATTGATTACCATCTTGTATATTTTTAATGTGATAGGCTTTTTTGTTGATTCTTCTGTTGCAGCCAATATGGTGATATTTTAGTTATGTTTTATTTTCTGCCTTAGTGTAAAAGTTTTAGTTTTATGTTGTGTTACACAGCCTAAGCAAATCCACGAGATCAAGGATTTCCTTCTCACTGCCAGAAGGAAAGATGCACGCTCTGTGAAAATCAAGAGGAGCAAAGATGTGGTCAAGTTCAAGGTTCGCTGCTCCAAGTACCTCTACACACTTTGTGTGTTCGACTCAGAGAAGGCCGACAAGTTGAAGCAGTCTCTTCCCCCAGGTAATTTTTCTTCTATGTTTTCTTATGGGCACCATTTTTCTTCAATGTGGTGACAATCAGCTACAATTCAGTGTTCTTATTGTTTTTAATTGTGTCTGCATGTAATGTATGCAGGTTTGAGCGTCCAAGACCTGTGAATGTGAGCTGGACCAAGGCGCTTGTTCATGGTTTCTAGGAGATGAGAACTAGATTTTACATTTCATGATGTTTTGCTATAGTTAAAGGACTGTGTAAGGGCTATGCGCGAGGTTTTCTTTTTATTGTTATCATTAGGAGAATGTGGGTGATTCTGCTAGCTGATTTATGGAAATTTAAACTTGATTTACATTTTGCAGCTTTTATGTCATAACATTTGTTTGGCTAGAGTGCTTTAAGAAGTTTTGACAAACTACAAATTTGGGACATAACTGATTGTAGTCAGCAGTTTGCATGCTTGTGTTTTTTCATGCTGTTTTCTTTAAAGTTACATTTGAGAGCTTTTCTAAATTTTGTGATGTTTTTTTAAGTTGAGCTCTAATGGCATCATATTTATGGAACAATGCTAAGGTGATTTCAACTTAGTGAAAAAAAAAAAATTAGGTTTGTACATATAACCAACCAGAAAAATTAGACAAATATTGGCTGTATGTTAATCATATAAAATGATAAGATAAATGACAAATACTTTTCCTTTCTTGCTTTGTTCTTTCTTTTAATTAATGTGGAATTGTACTATAGTATTTTCTCGACACATTAATAATCATATTTTAATATATATTTAGTTGAGGATCCAACTGTGTATGTATATTTATCTTTTCTTAATTGGCACACTAGTTTTCCACTGTCGTATCTTAAAATCTAAAAAAAGTATTTGTTTTAATATTTTTGAAATCTAATTCTATTTTATTCAATTCAAAATATTTAGATTATTTTATTCTCTTATGTTTGTTAATTTAACTAAATATCTCTTACAATAAAAGTTTATAAATTGATCAAAATAATCTCACCCACTCACATATTGTTGACGGTCGGTCACGATGATCGGAAGGTGATTGAACACGATTGGATGGATCTGGTTGGTTGTGTGTCAATCTGACTGGAAAATATTAGATCTACGGCCATAGATCTGGTCAAAAAACGTCAGATCTATGGCCACAGATGTGACCACATTTGGCCATTGATGACGACCATATCTTAGCTGTTAACGGGTAGATCTTAGTCGTCAACGACCAGATCTATGGCCATAGATCTGGCTTTTTTTAGTCAGATCCACAGTGGATCTGGTCAGAAAATGTCATATCAACGCATGATCGGCCAAATCCAACTTGTTATGCGTCACTCCGACATATTCTAGCCACTTTCCAATTGTGGTGGCCTGCTGCTAGCAATATGTAAGTGGGTGGGGCCATAGGAGTGTTTTTATTAATTTATAAACTTTTATTGTTATGGGTGTTTAGTGAAATTAACAAACCTAAAAGGTTAAAAATAATCTTAATAGTTATTCAGAAATGTAAAAAACAAAACTTTTCAGAATCCTATCATATTTTCGAAAAATGCTAAATAGCATAGAATGTTATTCTAAACGACCAACCAAAACGAAGCTAAGATATTCAAACAATTCACTTACAGTATTAATCTTTGAACCATCATTGGGTGGTTTGATAGTAAAAGAGTAAAAGAAAATTTTATCTCTATTTTAAAACCCATATTGATCAGTTAAACCGGCCTAACCGGGACCTGACAGTTAAGATGTACACAAACTGATTCAAACCGTTCATAAAAAAATAAAAAATTAATCTTTGGTCATAAGGATTAAAAAGACATATTTTTCTTGTACAATTTAACGATAAATTAAGGTTTATTGAATGGGCATGTTGGACCTTACAAAACGAAATATAAACCGGATCCATTTAGTCCAATTTGACCAACCCACTTAGCACCTTTATTTTTCATTATCGGGATTTCATAAGGTAACTTAATGGAGTTTAGTGGACATGTGACAAATTGACAACTCATATTTACCACATGTTTTTTTATAAAAGTGGCACTACCATTTTGTGGACTTGAGTGCTTGACTTAGGGAGAACGACTTATACATACCCAAGATTTATCGTAACGACAAGTTGGTACCCAAAAGGTTTTGAAATGATAAATAGGTACTTTCCGTCATGTTCTGTTAGTGATTTCTGTTTATTATTGTTTATTAATAGTGAAAAGACTAAAATGCCCTTAAAAGTTTGAATTTTAGTTTTTTATAAATTTAAAAATTTCAAAAAACCCCCTAAGTTTACAAATTTCACTAAATACCCCAACATATAAATGTTTTATAAAATAACAAAAACACCCCCCACCGGCAAGTGCCAGATTCCGGCCACCACCGCCAGAATCTGGCCGGAAAGTTGTGTTACGACACAGACCCGTCGGATCTGTGTCGTAACGCGTAGATCTGGCCTTTTCCGGCCAGATCAGCAACGGATCTGGCCGAAAAAGGCCAGATCTGGCTGCTGCTTCGACGGCCAGATCTTGCCTTTTCCGGCAAGATACGTGGCGGATCTGACCGGAAAAGGCAAGATCGGCAAGTTACGACACAGATCCGATGGATCTGTGTCGTAATACAGTTTTCCGGCCAGATTCCGGCGATGGTGGCCGGAATCTGGCACTGGGGGTGGTGGGGGTGTTTTTGTCATTTAACAAACATTTTATATATGGGGGTGTTTAATTAAATTAGCAAACCTATGGGGTTTTTTAGAAATTTTTAAATTTATAAAAAACAAAAATTGAAACTTTGAAGGGCATTTTAGTCTTTTCACTATTAATAAACAAAAATCACTAATAAAATATGACGGAAGGTACCTATTTATCGTTTCAAAACCTTTTGGGTATCAACTTGTCATTACAGTAAATTTTGGGTATGTACAAGTCGTTCGCCCGCTTGACTTATATTACTATTTTTAAATATTTTTTCCTTTTTCTTTATATATTTTGAGAATATCTTGTTATCCTCACTACAATAATAATATACAATTTTGAACGTTTTATTGATTACATAGATTTATTTTTAATAATCACAACAGATTATCAATCTAATTAATCTCGTTAATAGTGTAAAGAAGAGATGATAAACTTTCAAATAATAATATTTTACTGGACAGATGCTTGAAAGATTTGGTACATATTTTCTATTTATGATTAAATAATCTCATTAACAGTGTGGTTGTTAATTTTTTGTACTGGAAATTTTCCTTGGTTTATTCATTCTTTTATGGTTTTATTATTTTTTTTTATCGGTTTTTATTTCATTGATGCAAATGCTATGGAGGGCGGTGCTGACGCTGGTGGTTCCGTTCAGTGTTAGGGGTGGCAGTGGTGTTGGGTTCAGTGTATTAAAGTCATTTACTGTTATCCCGTTAAAACTAACGAAAAAGAGCTAACGGCTCTGAGTCCAAATATATTAATCCAGGTCGGGTATAACCCGGGGTTTGGTGGAATACCCAAAAGAACAAAACCCAAGCAATGTTTTTATTACTCTTAACACTGTTTGGACTCTAGACAAGGCAGCTTTTTTTAGCCTTTAACTCAATCATAAGATCTTCGAATTCGTGAGTGAAATTCAAGGTGAACCCAGTTCTTGTTTTTCTTCTTAAATCTATTTATTTGATTTTTTTTTATAATGTCATTACTTGTTTTAGTTTGACTCTGAATCGTTTGGTTAGTGAGAAAATGTTAAGAAATGATTAGAAAACCAGGTTTGATAAACCCAATTGGAGGTTTTAGTTGCTTTATACTAATTTTAGCTTTCTGGGTTTTCTTTATTTTGGTGGATTAGTAGTTGCTGAATCTGAAAGCTTATTTTTTATTTTTTGGGATTTTTTTTTGGGTTGATTTTGGTTGAAGAATAAGTGGGTTGTAAATAGTTTAGTATTTAGTTTGCTTCATTATTTCTTTATTTGTTTGTTTGTTTTGTATCGATGGCTAGTACAGTAAGAACATTCGCAAGTGAAACTATTTGTTGTATTGATGAGGGGTAGTATTAATGTTTTCAGTTTATAGGAATCATGATAGAACTTGCTGAAAGTTACATCATTACGTTTTGAAAATTTGAGATCTTAGCAGTTGAAAGTGTATTGATTAAATGGTTCTGAAATTGTGACAATTTTCCAGTGTTTTTCTTCTAACCACATTGATCAGTTTTTGTGACATTGATCAGTTTTTGTGACCTTTCAATTTTGTGTTGCATGGTTAGATAAGTGAAAGTTTCAGTGGCTGAAGACTTATATAAAATGCAATTCAAGTTTTGTTGAATTTCGCTGAAGGGAGTTGCTACTACTGACAGTATTTAAAACTTGTGTGGTTGCTCTTGGTCATTGCAGCAACTTAATTGAACTGGGATTCTCTAAAAGATGGTTGGGAATTCGTTGGTCCCGGTTTCAACATGCCCCGCAATGTTATCTTCATCGATGACCACTGTTCCACGCATTTCTGTAAAATTCTTGCCTTGTCTTCCACCAAAACCGAAAGCAAAAGTTACTCCAATAAGAGCTTTGTCTGCCGATACAGGACATAACCAACCAACCTCTTCTTCAGAGACAAAGAATCCGCTGTCTGTTGTTTTGGATGTTCCTCGGAATATTTGGAGGCAAACTTTACGTCCATTGAGTGATTTTGGGTTTGGTCAAAGGAGCATTTGGGAAGGTGGAGTGGGGCTGTTTCTTGTATCTGGCACAGTGCTTCTTGCTCTCAGTTTGGCTTGGTTGAGGGGTTTTCAACTGCGGTCTAAATTTAGGAAATATTTGGCTGTTTTTGAGTTTTCTCAAGCTTCTGGCATTTGTACAGGAACACCTGTGAGGATTAGAGGGGTGACTGTTGGCAATGTTATCCGTGTTAACCCTTCTCTGAAAAGCATTGAAGCAGTTGTCGAGGTTTATTTCAATGCCATAGTGTTGTTATGCATTTTTAATTTGATTTCCTTTTCATTTTGACTTTGAAATATGTGAAATGCAGTAAAGAATTAATTGAATATATTTGCTTAATTTTTCACTTAAACAACTCTTTTTTTTTTTCTTTTAATTTGTAGATTGAAGATGATAAAATTATAATACCTCGAAACTCACTGGTGGAGGTGAACCAGTCTGGTCTTCTTATGGAAACTTTAATTGACATAACACCTAGAAATCCCATTCCAACACCTTCATTGGGGCCCCTAGACCCAGAATGTGCAAAGGAAGGTCTAATTATGTGTGATAGACAAAAGATGAAAGGATATCAAGGAGTTAGTCTGGATACATTGATAGGGATATTCACCCGTCTTGGACGAGAAATGGAAGAAATTGGTGTTGCCAATACCTATTCGCTGGCTGAACGAGTTTCTTCTGTTATTGAAGAGGCAAGGCCACTACTTACACAGGTGTGATGTGCCCTTCTCACATATCTATGTTTAGCCGGTTACAATTAATTCACTTTATTGGTACCTTTTAGTTGATGCCAAGT